AAGGAGTTCTTCAGGCAGAAGGAAAATGATTCCAGATGGAGGCTCAGAGCTATCAGGAAGTAATGAAGAACAATGGACAGGTAAATATTAGGCAATCAATAAATCGTGTTTGTGTGATTAACAGCGATGTAGATTGGGAGAGTAGTAAGTAGTTAATTTCTAAGGATCTTACATTGTTTAAGGAGAGAATAAAATAGTAATTTTAGACTTTGATAGTTTAGGCATGTCATTTGTTCCACTAGTAGACTAGGAAGAAATTCTGTAACTACTGAGCTAACAAAATGGGGAAATTAGAATAATAAAGAAGAGAGAAAATACCCATAAGAATAATTAGTAACAGACTTCCAGGTATATCCAAGTGAAAATAGACTTACTGCTTGAATGAAAAATATGTTCAATGACTACGTGTGTGTGCATATGGGTTTACTTCTGTGGTAGAGCACTTGTGTGCTGTATGACAGCAACTAAAAAAGGAAAAAAATAAAACTATATTTAATACTTTATGGGAAGCCTTAGCCACAGAAACAAAAATGAAAAGGATAAAAAATGGCTAAAATGATAAAGATAACTGGGTAAAAAGATAAAATACAGTTCTTTGTCATAACATGATGATGGACTAAAACCGAAATTAGACAAACTATTAGAATTAACGAGTTTAAAAGCTTGTTGGAGTCAGGTGTGGTAGGGCATGCCTGTAGTCCTAACTTCTGAAGAGGCTGAAGTAAGGGTCATTTAATGCTATGCATTTGGGATCAGCCTGTGCACCATGGGGGAGGCTTTGGTTGAAAAAAACAAAACAAAACAAAACAAAAAACCAAGGTGGTTTGACTAACAGATAAAGTCATATTCACGTATGCAGATACTCTGCAGAAAATGAAATTTAAAGATACCATTTACAATAACATCAAAGAAAATAAAATTCTGAGGAATAATTATAATAAAACAAGTATAAAATTTTTACATACAGTCTGTAAACACTGAAGGCTGAGGATTTAGCTCAGTGATTGCATGCTTGCTTTAGCATGCTTTAGATCCTAGGTTTAATTCCCAGCACTGGGGGGTGGGGGCCAGGGAGAAGGACCTAATATTTTCATGGATTGAAAAAGTTAAAATGTTCAATTTCCCCAAATTATTTTACTCATCCAATGAAATTACAGTGAAAACTACATACATTTCAATGAAAATTAGCCAACATAAATATGGAAATGAAAAATATGAGAACTAGTTAATATCAAGGAAGATCTGAGTGAGAAGGTGTATTCCATCAGATAACCATTCTTATTCACCTTTACTCATTAGACAAGGCAGTCTTGGTGCAAAATTAGAAAAAAAACAAAGAAACAAACTCCAAAGATGAATGTGTGTGTTGGATCCATGACAAAGGTCACACTGCAAAGCAGCAAGGAACAAGATTTGCTGCTAGTAGATGCTGATGTGCCTGCCAATTGAGTACCTAGTTGGGAAAAAAAAATAAAGCTATTTTTGAATCATCCTGTGTGTAAAAAGTCATTCCAAATGAATTATAGATGTGAGTGTTGTAGGTAACATAATAAAGGAACTAATAACAAACAGGAGCAACTCTTCATGATTGTGAAGAAGAGCTTTCTGTCAACAACAACAAAAAATTGAAGAAAATTAAAGTAGTTGCAATAAAATTAAGAAAGTGGTAGATGATTAAAGTAAGAAGGCCCACTGCAGAAAGGAAGTGAGAAGACAAGATGGGCTATAGAAAGGAAGTGAGACGACAAGATCAGCTACAGAAAGGAAGTGAGAGGACCAGGTAGCTACAGAGAGGATGTAGAAGACAAGATATGCTGCAAAAAGAAAGTGAGAAGAAAAGACAGGCTGCAGAAAGGAAGTGAGAAGACAAGACCAGCTTCAGGAAGGAAGTGAGAAGACAAGACCAGCTGCAGAAAGGAAGTGAGAAGACAAGACCAGCTGCAGAAAGGAAGTGAGAAGACAAGACCAGCTGCAGAAAGGAAGTGAGAAGACAAGACCAGCTTCAGGAAGGAAGTGAGAAGACAAGACCAGCTTCAGGAAGGAAGTGAGAAGACAAGACCAGCTTCAGGAAGGAAGTGAGAAGACAAGACCAGCTGCAGAAAGGAAGTGAGAAGACAAGACCAGCTTCAGGAAGGAAGTGAGAAGACAAGACCAGCTGCAGAAAGGAAGTGAGAAGACAAGACCAGCTGCAGAAAGGAAGTGAGAAGACAAGACCAGCTTCAGAAAGGAAGTGAGAAGACAAGACCAGCTGCAGAAAGGAAGTGAGAAGACAAGACCAGCTGCAGAAAGGAAGTGAGAAGACAGGATCAGCTTCAGGAAGGAAGTGAGAAGACAGGATCAGCTGCAGAAAGGAAGTGAGAAGACAGGACCAGCTACTGAAAGGAAGTGAGAAGACCAGCCACAGAAAGGAAGATGATACTTGAATAAAGATATTGTCTCCAGAATAAGTAAATTCTACAAGTTAACGAAGAAGACATCTATTTGAGAAACAGGCAGAGGAGCTGGCCTGGTGGTATTTGCTTGTAACTCAACATTCTGAAGATGAGGATACTGAATTCAAGACTAGCTTAGGCTACAGAGTGAAGACCCTGTCTTAAAAACAAAACAAAAAACAAAAAACAAAACAAAAGAACATCAGAAAGAAATTTGAATGGACCATAATTACAGATGATCTGGATTTCCAGTAAAAATAAAAAGCTATTATCAGATTGTGGATTACGGCCACAATATATGGCATAGAACACTTTCCACAATAGCTTAAATGTAAAATACAGGATACATACCAGATAAAGACATACTGTTGGTTGAGGCATAAATTACTTCATCCCCTTTGGAAGACTAGGTATTGAAGCTGAACATACATGTACTATATGACACAGAAGTTCTACGCCTAGTAATCTATCCCCCAAAATATGTGTGCCTTGTCACACAAGAGGAATAGCAAGGTTCTTTGCAACATTGTAATGTCCAAAATTCATCAATAGCACAATCCACAAAATATGATACATTATTACATCAGAGTACAGATGTGTCCATGAAGATGCACAGAATATAGCTAATGTTGAATAGTATCATAAATGCAGTGTTGAATGAGAGGAGCTCAGAGTAAAAGAATACATGTTGTAAGGTGTCATTTTTATAAATTTCAGAATCTTTCAAAACCTTAGTATTAGAAATCAGGGTTATAGTTACACTTGGGGATGAGGAATGGCATGTAGGATGGGCATGGGGCAGTGAGGCAGTAGAGGGATTTCTAGGTGCTTATATTTGTGGACATATGGTAATGGGTATGTTTATTCTGTGATTGTTTAGTGCATTACATACAAGTATTTTGTGTGTTTTATGTGATATGTATGTTGAAAAATTCTCAATAAACCCACGTGGGGCATGGATACTGTGGTGGCTCCTGCAGCTTATTCGATGAAGTTCTCCATTCATGGATACTGTGGTGGCTCCTGCAGCTTACTCGATGCAGTTCTCCATTCATGGATACTGTGGTGGCTCCTGCAGCTTACTCGATGTAGTTCTCAATTCATGGATACTGTGGTGGCTCCTGTAGCTTACTCGATGCAGTTCTCCATTCATGGATACTGTGGTGGCTCCTGCAGCTTACTCGATGCAGTTCTCCATTCATGGATACTGTGGTGGCTCCTGCAGCTTACTCGATGCAGTTCTCCATTCATATTGCCCTTTCTTTTTTTGCCTTAGCAGAGAGAGGACAAGGTTGGATTTTAGTTGAATCTTTATTTGTTCTCTTGTACACTTGTTCTTTTTATTACCAGGAGTGTAGCTCTGGTGATGGGTACTGGACAATGGGGGAGTTTGTAGAAGAGGATTTTGATACTGTTATATTTGATTGTTCCTGGGGCTAAGGTAATTCTCACATTAGCATTACAGGAAATAATTCCAAGAGTTGTAACAGCGGTCAGGAACAAGCAACCTATTTTTTTTTGTTTGTTTGTTATTGTTGTTTTTTTAAATCACGCCTAACTATGATATATTAAAAATTATTTTCTTAGGTATTGTTAAAGCATGTTGTATTATGAATAACATGTGATAGTATGCCGTTTATATTAGCTATGTGACAACGAAAAGCATATAACCTACAGTTTGGCTCACATTCAAATCCTGGCTTTGCTTTTTGCTAGGTACAGAATTTAAGGAGGTTTGCTTTTATTTTTTTTTTTTTTTTGTGCCCCGCTCTCTTTGTGTCAGAAGAGGGCACTGTTCTTGCGGAGTGAAAATGAGTGAGCTTTTTTAGGTGGACTGAGTAACTGTGTGTGTGACATATGGTCTGGTTCAGCCTGTGTTAGATTTCTTCTTATCATGCGGCTAATCCACTAATACTAGGATCTGTGTAAAGCTGAAGACTTTAATGTGCTTACACCAATATCCTGCCAAGGCGGGATTCTTCTTAATCACTGAAGGAAAAGAAATGAAGGGTTTTTTGAGTTAATCTTTGTTCTTTTTTAATGCCATAATCCAATCCTGTTCTCTCGTTTCACAGTTTTTTATTGTAAAAATAGTCATTGGAAAATATAAAAAATGTTAAGAAAAATTAAAAATTATCCAAAACTACATCATTTTCTCCCATTTGCTTATCTGTAAATTTTTAACTGTGGTTTGAGATAGAGCCATACTTATGATTTTTTTCTCTTACTACATAGTATTTCTTTATGTTATGGTTTCTTTATTTTAGGTAGCCGCATGGTATTACATCTTAGTGTACATTATAATTGAAGGATATTGTTATGCAGTTTCCAGTTTATTACTATATTATGGTGTGTTAAGTGTCCTTTTTGATGTCATCCTTAGGATGTATTTAGAGGTACATAACAACTATATTTAGGGAGACACACTTATGGTTTTACATACACATATTAGAAGTGCTGTATGGAAAGAATATCAACTTATATTTCTACAACAAATACATACATGAATCCATTCTGTGTCACCATGAGTAGCAGCTATTCACCTAAACCCTCTGTCTCTCTTTGCAGCACTTGTTTAGTGCTCAGCACAGAACCCTGACCAGACAGAGCCGACGTCGGACAATCACCAACAATACTTTGATGGAACGCTTCCTGCAGGACGTTCTACGACACCACCCGTACAATTATCAAGACAACAGGTAAGGTAGTCAGTGTTATGGTTTATCTATCCCCACCATCTTTTTTGTAGCCCAGGACTAGTCTTGTCTGGAAATGCTGTGTAACCCAGACTGGCTTCAAACTGTTTCTCAAATGATGAGATTATATGAATATGGCACTATACCTAACTTTTTAAAGTCTGTAATTGAACTTAAAAAAATAAGAAGTGTAGCTGGGTGGTCGTGGTCAGACCTTAATCCCAGCACTCAGGAAGTAGAGGCAGGCAAATCTCTGTGAGTTGAGGCCAGCCTGGTCTACAAAGTAAGTTCCAGGACAGCCAGGGTCACACAAAGAGACCCAGTCTTGGGGAAAAAAGTGCAAAGTTGTTTTGTTTTTGTGGAACTAGGGATAGAACCTAAGGACTCAAATATGTCAGGCAAACACTTTACTTTGGATGCATTCCCAGCTCTGTAGTGAACTATCTTATTTAACCAATAAAAAGAAATAATTGGAAGTTATTGGACACAATTTTGATTTAAGGTTTTGGAGAAGAGTTAGCATTTACCCAGCCCTAAAATGAAATTGTATATAGATTTACAATTGTTTATTTTACTTAAATATTTAAAGATTCATTTGTAGGGGGTCTGGAGCGATTGCTCAGTGGTTAAGAGAAGTTGCTCTTGTAGAGGACCTGGGTCCAGTTCCTAGCACCAACACCTGCTCACAACCATCTTTAACTCTAATTCCAGGGGAGCTAACACCCTCTTTGGACATCTGCATGCATGTTTATGCTACACATACATGCAGGCAAAACATTTACATATGTATTATAAGACTAAATATTTAAAATTTATTTTTAAAGATTGATTTTTGTGTGTGTGTGCGTGTGCGTGTGCATATGTGTGTACACGTGCACCTGCATGTTCAGGTTAATGTTTTCTGGGCTGGGCTGGAAGCCATCGAGTCTCAGTAATACCCATTTCTATGTACCTCTGAGCTACCTTTCCAGGCATGTACAGAGTGCCTAGCTTGTTATATGGCTGTTGGTATCCAAATTTCGGTCCTCATGACAATGCGGCAAGTACTGTTACTGCTGAGGCATTTCTTCACCTCAGTTGCCTGTATGACCTTTCACTATGCATCTGGGAGTGTTAGCTGAGTTGTAGAGTGCTTGCTTAGTATTAATGAATCTCTGTCTTCAGTCCTCAGCCCTGCTAATAACAATCAGTTCATTACAGAAAATATGGACACAACTATGCTTTTTCCTAGGTAAATGTTTTAGGATGATAAGTAATTATGTATTATTAAGGTAATTTTTAGGTGTGTTATAGGATTAAATGTTGGGTGAGGGTGGAGCAGAATGTTTTGAAAGATCATTAACAGAAAAGCTAGGTCATAATAGGACAAGATAGTCAAAGTAATCTAAGTCAACTCTATTTTAATGGAACTGTGTGCTGACTCAGTGGAGGATGTATTAGATTGAATGGTCTCTTAATATCTGTCAGAATCTTGATGTCTTCTAAAAAGATTTTTAATAAAATTTTTATTATATTTATTTATTTGTTCATTTGTGTATATGTGGAAGTTAGAAGAACTTGCAGGAGCTAGTTTTTTCTTTTAAGTATTGTACATGTATGTTTTGGGAATCACACACAGGTGACAAACATCTGTATTCTTTAAGCCATCTTTCTGGCTTTTGATAGCTCCCCCACCATTCAGCTTGTTTTGGTTGTTTAATAAAAAAGAAACATTTGGTAACATTTAAATGTTAATGTTTAATTTTCTGGGCTAAAAAAACCCCTAGAAATCAGATTATAACAAGTATATAAGGTAAGCAAAGCAAAATGGGAGCATATCTATACAGAATTAGCTGAGGTGCACACCAAAAGTAGAAAAAGAAACTTATGCTTTGCAGGATACTAACCTAGAATTTAGAAATGATGAAACATTTTAATGGGGAAACTTTTTTTTCTAATGTTTTTTTCTTAATAAGAGCTGGTAAAAAGATCAGATTAGACTAACCATAGTATCATACATGAGACTTTCTGATTAATAAACCTTGTAAGCATTTCTTTAACAAACAAGTTTGTATAGCAGTCTTTGTTGCTTTTCATCTTCTGTAATAAGACACTTTGGTCAAGGCAACTTATAAAAGAAAACATTTAATTAGGGACACTTAGTCAGACTATCATAGCATCATGGAACATGACAATAGGCAGGCATGGTTCTGGAGCAGTAGCTGAGAGCTTAAATCTGACACACAATCAAGAGACAGAGAAAGATAGAGCTAACTGGGAATGGTGTGGGCTTTTAAAGCCTCAAAGCCCATCCCCAATGACATACTTCCTCCAACCAAGGCCATGCCTCTTAGTTCTTTACAAACAGTTCCATCAACTGGGGACCAAGTACTCAAACATATGGGCTTATGTAGGTCATTATCATTCAAACTATTTCTGTAGTTTAATTTCATAGGTTTTGAATTAGGCTAGAGTGTATAGATCATTATAAAGCAGCAGTTCTCAATATGTAGGTCATTACCTCTTTGGAGGTCAAAGGACCCTTTCCCAAGAGTCATCTAAGACCAACATAAAACACAGGTATTTACATTAAGATTCATAGCAATTGGGGCTGTGAGGTGGCTAACATGCACTGGCTGCTCTTCCAGAAGTCCTAAGTTCAATTCCCAGCAATAACATGGTGTCTTACAACCATCTTAATGGGATATGATGCTTTTGTCTGGCATGCATGTGTACATGCAGACAGTATTCATTCATAAAAATTAAAACAAAACAAAGATTCATAACAGTAGAAAAATTACAGCCATGAAGTAGCAGCAAAAATAATGGTTGTGGGTTACCACAACATGAAGAACTGCATCAGAGGGTCACAGCATTAGGAAGGTTGACAACTATTATTACAAAGTCTTTATTTTTTAACTTTTCATTTTGGGATAATATATTAGGCTTACCTAAAAACAAATTAAAACTGATAGAAGAAACTTGAGCCCCAACTATGCAATCTAAAGTCAGCACAGTGCAATTCTCTAAACTAGGAGCCATTTTTATGGACACTGCTAGCTTGTTTGTAGATGTATCCTTTTCCATGATGCCCTGTGCTTGGGACCAGCCATACTCACACATTGCATTGAAGTCCTATTCCCTCAGCCTCCCTTTAGCTTTATCCCTTCCTCATTACTTATTTACTTATGAAGACACTTTTTAAGAGCACTGGACATTTATTTTATGGACAGCACCCCAATTTGGGCTTGTTTGATGTTTCCCCATGACTAAACTAAGAGTAGACATTTTGGGCACTAATTCCTCAGAACTGAGGTTTTATCCTTGCTGGCATATATGTTGACATATTTAATTGCTGATGATGTTTTTAAAATAATTACTAAGCTCATTTAGTTAGGGTACAAAATAATGGCTTTCATTATGACATTTTGTTATGTGCCATTTTACTTTGCTTGTATTCACCCCTACTGCCCATTGTGTTCCCACTCATCCTAGTTCATTCTTCAAACATGGATGATAGTAATTTGATTGAGTTGTGTGATTAAAGCAGTACCTGCCAACTTACCCACTGAGCATCTCACTGGTCCTTAAAGTTCCCTTTAGCTCAAGACGGATGTACAAGATTTTTGTAGGTTTTTTTTTTTGTGGTAAAGTGACAAATGACTAGAAATTGAATTATAATTTGTTATTATTAAATACAGGTACAAATACAGATGCAAATAGAAGCATCTAGGTGGTAGTTGCTGAATTATTTTCTCCTTTTATTGTTGGTTCTTTCTCTTGTCTGTATTGTCTTGTTAAGGAATTAGTTATAAGTATGTTGCTATAGACTTTAAAGCAAATGAAGATGTGGAGGTGCACACCTTCAATCCTAGCACTCTGGAGGCAGAGGCAAGCAGGTTTCTGAGTTCGAGGCCAGCCTGGCTACACAGACAAATCCTGTCTCAAAAAACAAACCAAATGAAGGCAATCTAGTTTTGAAAAAGAGGTGAAAGTGGTTCTTGCATTATCATTTCATTGATTATAGGTCAAAATTATGTTTTTAAACCATAGTGTAATGCTATTTTGATGATAGTTAATTTTAAATTACACACATTTCAAATTAGTATTAAGTAAAATGAATTATCAAGGGGATGGAGTGATGGCTCATCTACAAAGATAACTTACTGTTCATGCAGAGGACCCAGATTCAGTTTCCAGAACTCACATGATGGCTTAAAACCATCTTTTACTCCAGTACCAGAGGTTCCAACACCTTCTGACCTCAACAGGCATAAGCCACTCAGCTGGTGCAAAATACTCATATACATAAAATAAATCTAAAAAACTTTTTTAAAAAGATGACTACTTTAGTTTGGGTTTCTGTTGCTGTGAAGAGACAGCATTGATGTGGGATATTCTGTAGAAAAACTCTGGCTACTTACCATGGCATTGCTAACTTTTATAAAGGGAAGCATTTAATTGGGGCTGGTTAACAGTTTCAGAGATTGAGTCCATTATCATCATGGCAGGACACAATAGCTTGCAGGCAGACATGGTGCTGGAGAAGGAGCTGAGAGTTCTGTATCTTGAACCATAGACAACAGAAGGAATTTGTTTCACTGGATAAAGCTTGAGCATCTAAGACCTCAAAGCCCATCCCCACAGTGACACACTGCCTTCAATAAGGCCATACCTCCTAATAGTGCCACTCCCTATGTGCCAAGCAGTTAAAACAGGAGTCTGTTGGGAACTTACCTATTCAAACCCAGGGAAAAACGACTCCTAACACAAACCAGCACAGTGACTTATGGAATGAAAGCACTACTACTTCTGATGGATGAAAAATGAAAGAACAGCTTATAGGCTTAGTGCCTAAAGACACTTGCTGTGCTTCCAGAAGACCCACATTTGGTTCCCAGCACTCACATCGGGTAGCTCACAACCACCTGTAACTTTAGTACTGAAGGCTCTACTACCTCTTCTGGCCTTCACAGATACCAGGCATACTTGTGGTACAATGTCCAGGCAAATACACATGCAGGCGAAACCTGTCCATAAAATAAGTCTTTAGGAAAAAAAATAAATAAATAAAAGCAGTTGCTGACACATACACATATGCTTTTAGATAAATGTGGCATTTTTCAAGTTTAAAAAATAACTTGGTTTTTAAATTTTACCTTTTCCTTTTTTGAGTCAGGGTCCCACTCTGTAGACCTGGCTGGCCAGAACTCATTATGTAGACAAAGCTGGCCTCAAACAGAGTTCCACCTGCCGCTGCCTTCCAGGTGTTGCTATTGAAAGCATGTGCCACAACACCCAACTGTGTTTTCTAATTTTTATAGACATTGATTTGGTTACTATAGTGCTAGGGATTTGTTTATCACTTTTTATTTTTAACACATTATTTCATTACACATTTTAAAAATACCAAAAGTACAAATAAAAATATGGAATGCTTCTTCACAAATTTGCACGTCATCCTCGTGCAGTGGTCATGCTAATCTCTATCATTCCAATTTTAGTGTATGTGCTGCTCAAGTGAGCACCTGTTGTATGTTTTCCAGTGTCTCAGAATATGTCCTTGATATCCTCTTCCATAGTCTCTTGAGTTCTAAGATTACAGGTGTTTGCCACTTTGCTATAGTTAAACTATAGAATTATATGTGTATGCAAGAAACTAGAGCTTGATGCCAAGTGTCTTTGGTTCACCATCTCATTTTTTGAGACAGTCTCACACTCAGCCTGGAACATTGAGCCTCTGGGGTCCTTCCAGTGCACTGTGCTGGTATTACAGGCGGACACTGCCTTATCTGTTTTTAGTTCTCATGTGGGTACTGAGGATCCAAACTCAGGTCCTCAAAGAGCAGGCGCTCTATCATTGCACCCATCTTCTCCAGCCTTAGGCTGTAACCTTCTAAAGAAAATTTTAGCAGAAAAATTAAAAGTGCTAATAAAGAGGGTTTTATAAAGTCAGGCATAGTGGTACATGCCTTTAATCCTAGTACTCAGGAAGTATGAGATCTCTGTGAGTTGGAAACCAGCATGCTCTACAGAGTGAGTTACACCACATCAGAGTTACATAGTGAGACCCTGTTCCCCCCAAAGGGGATCTTTATAATATGATTTCACTGAATTTACCTAATATCCATGCCTCAACATTAGTCTGGTACATTTGTTATAATTAATGGACTGGTAATACATTAAAGTCTGACTCATTCAAATTTCTTTAGTCATTTTTTTTTTCCTGAGACAGGGTTTCTGTATGTAGCCCTGGCTGTCCTAGAACTCACTATGTAGATGAGGCTGGCCTCTGACTTACAGAGGTCTGCCTGCCTTTGCCTCCTGAGCACTGGGATTAAAGGTGTGTGCCACCGCTACCCAGCTTCTGTAGTAATTTTTAAATTGCATTTTTAAACTAAGATTTCCAAATTTGACTGCTTTCTGTTTCAGGATATCCACTTTAATTTAGCTTATGCTACCTTAGGCTTCTCTTGGTTGTGATATCCTTTTTGTGGGTCTAAGTAAGATATTACTGACATTTTGCACTGGATGTTGCTGCTAACCGAATGCTTCTCGAGAGCCAGATTATCTTTGAATTTGCTCAATATCTACCGCATAGAGAGTACTGCTGAGTAGAAAATCTTTAGTAGGTGATTGCTATGACTGAATTAAGACTGTGACACTATCTTTAGGGCAGATGTTTATATATATGAAAGAAGGAACCCAAAAATGTTTTGGATCAAGCATTATGCTGATGATAGAAGATATGACTGACAGATTTTTAGATATGAAATTTCAGATCTTTAGAGAAATAATTTAATCAGCCAGCAGTGGTGGGGCACACCTTTACCCCGGCACTCTAGAGGCAGAGGCAGAAAGACCTCTTTGATTTTGAGGTCAGCCTGGTTTACATAGTGAGTTCAAGGACAACCTGAACTGTTACACAGAGAAACCCTGTCTGAAAAAACAAAATTAGTTTAAACTTTTGAATGGAAAACATAGTATACATAGGAATAATTTAGAAGGAACATTTAAAGCATTCAAAAGTGATTCATAAGGCAGGTGTGATGATATGTCTATAATTCTAGCTACTGGGAAACTGATGTGGTAGCATTCATTGCTCCTCCTAGAGAAGGGTAAACCTGGGCAGCATAGCCAGATCACCACCTTAAAAAAAGGAGACAGATACATATTACCTATATTCCTGTTGGGGCTCCAGATTTTCTGTTCACTCTCCTAAAGGTAACAGATAGGACTAGTTTCTTATATTTGCTTCTATAGCTATAATTAACTGTATAATTTGTCCTTTTTGACATAGCTCTTAAACATTGAGGTTTCTGGGACTCAAACCCAGAGCCTTGTACATACTTGGCAAGCAGTCTTCCAACTGATTGACATCCTGAGCTTCGGGTCAAACTTTGTGATGTTTACTGTGATAACCAAAAAATGGATGCAGGGAGTCATTTACATTTTTATATTAGGGAGTCATTTGTTTATGAAATAGTAATTGGTGGATATACTGTGTCTTCTATGCCAGGTAACTTCCTGAAGTACAATCTGGTGTGATAACTTGTGTTCTTTTCCTCCTAAGAATGGTCCATAATAGAAAAATAATACCATGAATTCCAAGCAAAAACTGGTATTTTAATGTTTTTTCCTTTATTCTTTTTAGAGCTGCACCAAATGAGGCAGCAGCAGGAGAGGCAGCAGCAGGAGAGGCAGCAGCAGGAGGGGATGCAGCAGCAGGAGGGGAGGCAGCAGCAGGAGCGGATGCAGCAGTAGGAGCGGATGCAGCAGCAGGAGCGGATGCAGCAGCAGGAGCGGATGCAGCAGCAGGAGCGGATGCAGCAGCAGGAGTGGATGCAGCAGTAGGAGCGGATGCAGCAGCAGGAGCGGAGGCAGCAGCAGGAGCAGAGGCAGCAGCAGCAGATCCTGGGTCCCCTGAAGTGGTCATTTTGGATGACTCAGATGACAATGAGGATGACACTGCAGAGAGCAGTGGAGAGGTGTACTCTGAGGATTCGGAATCTGTTGAAGAGATAGATTGTAGACCTGGTACTTCCCAGGGATATGCAGAGGTTGCAGTTCGACCATCAGTTATTCAAAAGCTAGAGCGGGGACAGCAGCAGTCCTTGGAGTTGGCTCATAAAGTTGAGAGTGGTATGAGAAAAGTTAATTCAGTCGGTGTTGTTCAGGCTACAACTAGTGGAAAAATGTTAGTGCGTCCCCCAGTGATTTGTAATGCTCCTGCCAGCTCTTTGCCTAGCGGCTCTCGAGAGAGACCAGTTGCGGCTAACAGTGTTCCTCGGTTAGTACTGGCAGTTGCTTCAGATTCCTTTCCAGCTTGTGACACAGAGAACCTTGAAACATACTTTGACCCCCCAGATCAGGGCTCTAGCAATCCACCATCTCAACCCAAACCTAAAGATCCAAAAAAGAAACCGTTAAGTATAAATTTAGACAAATTGTTTGCACAGAAAAATCTCAGAGCTAAGGGTGCGTCTTTTTCCCCTGTTGTGCGAGTGCGGGAGCTAACAAGTGCTGAGCTTTGTTCTCTAAGAGTTGGGTCTTCTGAGTCAGGGGCAGGCACAGCAGGAAACCCCAGTGAGACTGACACACCACCAGATGCAGCCCGTGAAGGTGCCATTCCAAAGCGTCGTGAGGCATCTTGTTCAAACGTGGTTCGTCCCCAAGAAGAAACATGCTTGGTTCTTAACAGGCCAGCACTTCAGAATCGCTCAGTGAGTTCTGAAGTGGTCGATCATGGCTCTCTTCAGCCAGTACCTGGTCATTCCCAGGCTGCAGTACATTTGGAAGAGGAAGAGGTGGAAGAGAGAGTTGACCAAGATGAGAACTATGAGTCTAGAGGTTCTGATATGAGTTTCAATTGTGGGTCCTCTTGTCAGTCACAGAGGGCCCTGTCTGAACTGCCCGCTAGAGAAGTAAGTGTATCAGAAGAAACTGGTGATGTTCAGCCTAGGAATGAAACACCTACTGTTTCTGGAGCAACTTCGGATAATGGCAGCAGTTCTCGTCAGGTGCCTACCAACCGTTCTCGAGTGATCACACAGAACATACAGTTCATTAGTCTGGTCGATGAAAGCTATGAGTCTAGTGGCTCTGAAGTGAATTTTGAAGGTGATTATGCACTTCCATCAACTAGTCGCCATCCCCCACAGCCTGTGAGAGTAGCAAACCTTCCTACACAGATGGCTGTCCGCTTGGTTGGCAGCTATGGAAGCGGTAGCTCTGAACCATGTGAGGATTCTGGGTCCTCAGCTGATGAGACTCCAGCAGCAGCAGGACAGCAACAGCCTCCGAAGAATGCCAGTGCACAACTGGTTGATGAGAACTACGGGTCAAGTAGTTTCAGTTCTGACAGTGATGCGGCTCCCCAAATGCCTGTTCAAGAAAGAAGCCCAAGAGACAGAGCTGTCCAACAGGAAGATGAACACCAACCCAGTAGTGCTGAAGCACACCCTGAACGTGATGACTCTGTTGAGAGAGGGGTTGACGAACCCCAGAGAGAAGCAGAAGAGATAAATGCCCTGAACCAGAAGAATACCAGCCGTGGGGATCTGAACTGTGAGTCTCATGGTCCTGAAATGGGTTTTCATGCTGATGCTCGATTAGAGGCTGATCAATCTCCAGTAAACCCCGAGGAAGTAGATCTTGACCTAGAGAATCAGAGTGTTCACTCTGGCATGTCTAACCTAAGTTTTGATACCCATGCTTCTTATCAGTCAGCTAATGATCAACCTCAAGGGGCTTGGGGTGAACTAAATCTTGATGAGTTAAATGTCGACATGGAAGTTAAGAGCAGTGCGTGCTCCAGTTCTGAGTTGACATTTGATTCCGATTCCCCTCTTCTGTCAGTTACTGAGCGGTCTCTGCTGGATTTTGAAGGAATAAACGAAGATGACTTTAACCTGGAAGATGAAAACTGTGTGTCAAGTAGTTCTGACATAACTTTTGATTCTGATATTCCCGATGACTCAGTAGCTGACCAACCTCAAGTAGCTGTTTATGAGGAGGAACCTGTTGATCTGCAAAATAAGAGTAGTGCATCTTGTGTTTCTGAAATAACATATGATTCTGATATTCCTCTTCACTCAGGAAATGATCACCCTGAAGTAGCTGTTAAAGAAGTAATCATTCAGGAAGAAGAAAACGTTCACTTAGAAGGGAAGAATGACAATCCCAGTGGTTCTGAAATATGTTTGGATTCTAATGCCCCTCTTCATTCAGTGACTAATACTCAAGTAGCTGTTAAAAAGATAAATTCCCCTAAAGAAGAACAGGTACACACAGAACAAAAGGAAAACGGAGCTACTGATTCTGAACTAAGTTTGAATTGTGACACTCTTAACTCAAAGCCTGGACATTCTGAAGATCCCATTGTTGCCTGTGTTTCTCAAGCAAGATTGGATTCTCATACCCCCTTTCAGCCTGTTATTCACAGATGTGAAGTAATTGTCAGAAACGTGTGCTCTCCAAAAGAAAAGCATGCTCAATTGCCAAGTACAAGTACAGAATCTCATTCTGAAATCAGTTCTGCAGCTTCTACTGCTTCTCATCCAGTGGCAGAACCTTATGTAGGTAAGAAAGCAAAGAGAAAGACAAAGCATCTTGAAGAAGTCAAGAGTGATGATGAATATGATGGATCTCAATCAACTTTCAATTCTGATGTGTTTCCTCAGTTAATGACTGAAAAACCTCAACCAGCTGCTTTGAAAGAGGGCCATGCTGACCCAAAAGATGACAGTACTGAGCTTAGAGAAACTGAAGAAAATCTGAATACTGCTGGTTGTCTTGATTCAGTCATTAGCCCACCTCAACTAGACATGAAGGAAAACCATGTTGAACTGGAGGACACAAATGACAAGCCTGCTGACTCTACAGCAAATGTTGATTCTACTGGCCACTCTGACTCACTGCCTAAAGATGATAACGTGATCATAAAAATGGACGAGTGGAAAAAAGAGGCAAAGGTCCTTGAAAAGAAGATCAGTGAACTTATCTATTCAAAACTGATACACGATTCTCATGTTACTTTTCGTTCTGCAATGGATCAACTTGAAGTCGCTCTTAAACAAATAAATCTTGACAGTAAAGATCAAATGTCCTTGGAAGATAACAACCAGGAGACCAGTTCTGAAACAAATGTGGATTCTGATTTCTCGGTCCAGTCAGTAGTTGAACCACCTGAAGCAACTGGTTCAGAGCCTGAACACGTTAAACATGAAGGTAGGAATAACGAGTCTTGTGATACTGAGGTAAGCTGTGAGTCTAATGATGCAGTCCAGTCAGAGGCTGCTCAGCATAGTGAAAGTGATGAAAGTGGAAGTCAGAAGGATAAAGATGACAAGGAAGGGCAGAGGGATGAAGTGCAGGGTTTTGGAATTACATGTGTTTCCAGTGTCTCTCAGCCATTGGCTGGCCAGACTGAAGCTGAAGTAGTTCAGGAAATCAGCCCTTGGGAAGATCATGGTGATTTGGAAAATCAGGTTGTTGAATCTAGTGACTCAAATATAAACTTTCATTCTGATGAACCGCTTCAGTCTGTGACTGATACAACCCAAGAGCCTGTTCAAGAAATAAGTTTACCAATGGGACATGTTAGTCCACATGATAGTGGCTCCTCTGATTGTGGCTCTGAGTCCTGTGGCTCTGCAATAGTGTCTGTTTCGAATGTCATTTTTTGTTCAGTGATTCAGAAACCACAGCGTTTACAAAAAGGGTGTACCAGTCTGAATGTAAAGAGCAGCAGCCCTTGTGGCCCTGAAGTGATTGTTGATTCCAGTGAGAGTCCTGAAACAAGTTTGGATTCCAGTGACATCCCTGAAACAAGTTTGGATTCCAGTGAACCTTGTCAGTCAGTAGCAGGCCATCTTAAAAAACCTGTCAATGAAATGAATCTGAAAGAAGACCATATTTACCTGGAAGATAAGAGCTACAAGCTAGTTGATTTTGAACCAACTTACTATCCTGATGATCCTGTTCAGTTTGTGACAGACCCATCTGTGGAAGTCAACTTGCAAAAAGAGAATCAGAATGACCTAGAAAATGAGACCTTTCAACCATGTTGTTCTGAAGTAACATGCAATTCTGGTGTCCATCTACAGTCAGAAGTTGACTCACCTCAAGTGGCTTATAGTGAAGCAGACCCTGAGAGGAAAGATCTTGTCATAGAAGAAAAGTGCAGCGAGTCTTGTGAGCCAGAAGTGCTGTATGATTCCGACGTCTCTTTCCAGATAGTAGTTAACCAGGTTCAAACATCAGATGGAGAAACAGATTCACCACAGGTGGTGTTTGTGGATGTTGTGTCCAGTGATAGTGACTGTGACCGGGAAGTAATTTCTGACTCAAATATCCCTCTTCAGCTAGAACCTGAGCCACCTCAGCTGACTATCAAAGAAACCAATGATATAAGCACAGATTCCGTTGGTTCTGCAGCAACAGAAAAGTACCACTGTAAATCCCGTGGTTGTGATTGTAAAGCCTCTCAGTCAGTGACCAATCAATCCAAGGAAAGTTTCAAAATAATTAACCGAAAGAACGACTATATTATTCTGGGAGATTCCATCTGTCCATCTTGTGGGCATGAACTCAATTTCAGTGCTGATGCCTCTGATCAACCCACTACCTCCCAGTTACGAAGGCCTAATCGTAGTCGCATTAACTCGAACGGTAGAAACCATGAGTCTCGTAGTCTTAAAAGAAGTTTCACAGTGGAACATAATCCTCAGCCAACGATTCACAGAGAACTACAGAGAAATGTTGAAGACCTTGATCTTTGGAGCAATCCAAGAAATATTGCCTTTTACAACAGGATCTGGGAATCTAGTAGGTTTGCACCAGACCGTGCTGCCTATGCTGTGTCAGTGATCCGTCAAACGTCTGTGACAGACATCCCTTTGAAGTTAGGAGATGGAGATCTAGAAACTGAGATCTCAGGATCTGAACTGAATTACCAGTATGATAACCGTCCTCAGTATGACCCTGACCAACCTCTGCCTAAGAGAACACGCCAGCGTAAGAAGGTAACTTTTGACATGAGAGTAACTAAGTATGAATATCCACCAAACCCTATGTACATGGAAGGATTCGAAGAGTTTCCAGAAGGTGATCCTAATGTACTAGTCCTTGAAGCCTCACCTCAGGTCCCTCCAACATTTGTTGAAGTAACTCAACCTGAACCTGTGTTGAGTGAAGATGAAGTGAGAACAAACACACAGGAATTTCAAGGTCATATCTACAGTTATTATGATGGTTCATCTGAGACCAAGAAAATAATTCTGAGTGAAGAAGAAAAGGCTGCTTGGCCTGACTTTTATCAGAACACCACATCAGTTCACACTGTGCCACATCTTGAATATATTGAAGGCAGAGTTGGAGACAGCAGCGATGTCTCAGTGGCCTTAGGCACACCATCTTGTTCCCTAGCAGCAGATCTTCAGCAGCAACAGGAGCATGTGGCTTCTCAGAACCAGGTAGAAGGAGTTCAATGTGGAGCTCAAGCCAGTTCTGGGAAGAAAAGAAAAATGTCAGAACAAGAAGAAAGCTTACCAAAAAGGAAGCACTTCCACCCTGACAGCCAAGAAAAAAAAGAGCAAACTGAGTCACCTGCACAACAGACAAAAGTCTCAGAGTCTGTCCAGCCCGACTCTTTAGTCTATATTTTTTCTTCTCTGAGTATGAAGGAAGATCAGTCTTTGAACCCACCTAAAGCAAAGCCTGGCAGTGACAAGGGTCTACGATTCATATACAGTTGTAAAGAACACAGTGCTCCTAACCCACCACGTAAGAAAACTGTAATTAATCCTCCACAGAACCTAACAGTACCAGAGCGTGACACACAGGAGGTAGTTAGCAGTGATCTTAGTAGGAATGAGCCAAAGTCCAGTGCAGGACAGATTGGTGCCAACAGATCAAGCTTGGCTTCAGCAGCTAGGATGGCAATGCCGAAGAAAAGATGTGTGTTAAGATACCTGGGGCTCCTTCAGTCTTCATATTCAGAAAGTTCAGGTGTGGGTGCTACTCAAATTCCAAAGGACAATCTCCAGCAGAATCCTTTAAATCATGACAGTGCCAAAATTCCTCCCAAACCAGTTCAAAAGGAGGTTCCTGAGAGTAAAGCTCCAAGGAAATATTGGAAAAAGAAGATGGCAGCTACACACCAATCAAGCTTACTTAAAAATGCTTTCAAAACAGTGGTTCTCCGGAAAAAATCAAGACTAGCGTCAGAAAAACTGGCTATTTGGATTCAGCTGAAAGCAACCGATATCATTAGGAAGTATGTTTCTAAATGCCCTGGTGTGGGCCGGAAGCATCAGTCAAAGACTCTTCTTATTCGAAAGCAGCTGAGGAAGAAGAAGATGGTCGCCAAGAAGATAAAGGAGGTCAAGAGAGCGGCTGCAGCAGCGCGCTTGAGCCTTGCGCTCCGCCCAGCCGTAGCTGAGGAGCAGCCGTTAAGCGCTCCTGCAGTGCCTGCAGAGCTGCCTACTCCTAATCTTCCCAGTGCTCCAGCAGTAAAGCACTACCGGAAAAGGCGCTACCGAAGAAAGAAGAAACTTCTTCCTGTGAGAGAATATGACCTGAGAAGCTCGAGCTCCTCAACAAGTACCGACAGGATGGTGACCAGGCTTGCAAGCAAATCCCGAAGTAATGAGGCAAAGTAAAAGCGCGGGCCACGGAGAGGTCAGCCCGCCCCTGGATGGAACACACGTGGACTTGAGCGCACAGACTTTCCCAGCTTTGGTAGGGAACTTGACCTGACACTATTTTGCTACAGATATTATTTTTCAGAGATTTTCTATTCATTTAAAATTTAGTGTTTAGGGTCCTTTTTTTTTTTCCTTTTAAAGGTTTAAAAGCAACCTTTGTCCCGTTTCTGTAGAAGAGCTTCATCTTAATTTGTCTTATAATTTAGCATAGAATTTTGTCCCTTAAATCATGTCCGTACTCATTTCCTCTGAAAATCTTTCGTGCCAAAAAATTATAACACTGGGAGAATGAACACAGCAAACTTATTAGTGTTATCTTTTAAACAATTGGATGGATATCTATTTTCCTAGTTACCATGCTTATAAGTTGGATCATCAATAACTATTGGGATAAATAAAAAGAGTGACATTGTGCTATCTCAGTTTTTGAATATGATTAACTTGAATGATCACAAAAACAAAATTTGTTTTTATTTTAAAGGCATTCCACGAAATAATCCAGTTTTTTTTTTGTTTGTTTGTTTGTTTCTTTGGTTTGTTTTAAAGTGCCTGGTAATTTTATAGACAACAGAAATTCTTCCTCCTTCATTTAAATTGGATCTGCAAGTCTGTAGCTTTATTTGGACAGCACACCCACAAATCTGTTCGTTAGCATTTTTAATCTTACATGGGAAAAGATTTTGCAAACATGATTAGGCTTATAAACTACCTTTTATCCCTTTACTAGTAATCTAAGATGAAAATCCAGGTAATTTTATCATTTACTAATATTTCACACATTTTAAAATACTGAACTGAAGTTACTGGTTTGATAATAGTGTGTGGGCTGGCCACTAATTGTCATTAGTGAAATACTTCAACATTTCAGAAAACTTAAACTAGTAACTTAACTAGAGACCCACTTTGCAAGTGAAAAACAACGTATACACCAGTCAGTTTATCTTAAACTATCTAATGATCTTAAACTAGTTAGATAGAGGTCAAACTAATTTGACACTTTATCTTAAACTACCTAATTGATTTTAACAGTTCAGAAAAAAGATGCTTGGATACACAGTGTGAGCCTCTAGTACTTGAGTATATGCCTTTAAGGGACATTGATTGAGCTGGTGCAAATGCATCCTCTTGTCTTGTTCAGTCAAGACCTCAACCTTTTTCTGTCATTGATGTTACAAGGAAACACAAAGTTTCCCTTAATTGTGTAACTGCTATATTTTATTGAATTAGAGTCAGTGTTAAGCTGTGTCTTGATTTCAGAGATAAAACTGTGTTACCTTAGAATTAATGAAATATCAATGTGGTTTTGTTTCAGGGGCCATTATTTAACCTGTGAGTTGTTAATGGTGATACTATTGTCATTTCTTTACTTCTAAATATAAATGGTAATTATATTGCAGAGTGGACAAATGTGTTTTTTTTTTTAAGTTGGCAAGTGATGTGTTTAATTTCTTCAACCTTGCCTCCTTAGATACAAACATTCTAATTCCCTTTCTTAAAAAACATCTCAATGAGCCACTAGTTTTTTTTTTTTTTTTCCTTCAAGTTTTAATTAAGGAAGAAAACTGTCTGGCTGATTATAAAGTAACCCGTAAAAGCACTCTGTTCGCAGTATTGATCTTTTATAGTTCCCAGACACCCACTAACAAGCATGCCTGCAATGCCACTTAAAATGAGAGTTCAGACCCAAATAACTTATCATGGAATTAGCCAAATTATGTCTATTGTGATTATGTCATGCAATGAGGGTCATTCTTATAATTCAAATGATCAAAATTTAAAGTTCAAAAATGTTAAAGTTTTTTTTCAAATTGAAAACTCTTCTAAGTACCACTTAGAAGGAAAAGATTCCTAGCTAAAATTGGTATCACCCAAATATAAAATGTCCGCTGTAGAAATGATGGTTTTGTTTAGCATTTTGCAAGTGCTTGCTAAGTTCTTACAAGGAATATTATTTTAGGCAATCTTGGAAACTTGAAATTATAAAACTTAAGTTAAATTGGAAGTGAATTTTTCAGAATTTGATAGGATACAAGATGTGCCCCTTTGTCTACATAAATGGCTTAATTTTCAGGCTAGGTTGAAAGAATTGCTTATTTTGTGTAGTCAAGAGTGCATTATATTCTTTTAATAGCAGTACATCAAATTACAACCATAATGAGCATTTTGTTAATCTTGTCCTTTTTAGTATCTTGGATAGATTTTTATTGTAACTGTCCTGGTGTATACAGTGTGTGGACAATATTGTGGAAAGAGTGTTTTTGCATTTGTGCATTTAAATTATTTATGTAACTAGGGCTCTAAGTAACACTTTTTTTTTTTGCTTAAAGAAAAGCTATATTTAAATATTCAAATAATTATATATTTCCATGTAAAACTAATGTGAAGACCGATGTATTTTTTATAATGCAGTTTAAAGTGTAAACTTGTTTTGATGTTATCAAGATAAATTTATTAAGTATTGAAATTTGTGTGTACTCTCTCCTCATGTTAGAACCTTTTCCAGGAAATATTTAAAAAGAATCAGAGAGTAACCAAGTCTGAAGTGACTCTGTAAAAGGCCTGAGAGATGATAAATAAGAGAGTGCAAATGTTGATGCTGGCGAGAAAATAGTTTAACCAAAGATGCACAGGTTGTACTCAAATCAGTAGTTATTTAAAAAGATTAAATGATCACTAAATTGCCTGGTGGAGTGATGGGGCAGCTCTGTTTTACTTGTGTGCCTGTACTGAAAGGATTGAGTTCAGGAACAGGAACCATACCACCATCTGACCCCGAACCTTCCATCTGCCTTCCTGTCTTCTAGTGCCATGGCATAGGATAGCGATGGATGGCAGGGTGGCGTGGAAGATGTGAGAGAAGAATGAAATAGTGTCTTTGACCCTAGAGTTATTGACTTAAGAATTTGTCATTAAAACGAGGATGATCTTACTCTTTACAATGAGAAATTACTTTTTAGTAAAGGACTTTTATGTTTAGAATCATGGAATTACAGAATTACACACCAAAATGCCAACTTGAGGAAATGGAAGGTAAGGCTCTTTAGCATTTCCTCAGCTCTTTCTTATTCAAATGAATTCAGCTATTAAGGGAGAAAAAATGATAATTTAAAACATTTCCCTTTGTTCTTATACTTTATATGTGTGAAGTTTAAGTATTTTAAAGCAAGGGCTTCATTTTTTAAAATGATTTGCTTTGAATAAGGATTAGGTTCAAGATGAAGTAATTTGTTGCTGAGTCTTTACATTATTTCTAGGTTTATTTATTTTAAGAACTTTTAAACCTAGAAAGAAATTTACGTACCAGATTTATTACTCCCAAATTTGTGTATGTACGTATTGAGCCCTTCCTGAGTACAGCACATTCTCCTAAGCTTTAACTGTACCATGTCCCTTGATCTTTGTATTTGGGAACCTTTTTTGGATTCTACAACGATTACTATGAAGTGAGAAGATTGAGGCATAGAGTAGTTAACCCCCAGTTAGAGGCCATCTCTCTTCTAGTTTTCATCTTCTTTGTTTTCCCTGCTTAGTTAATAAAAGTGGTACTTTTTTTTTTTTTTAATGTTAGTCTTTTTTTTCCCCCCTTTATCATGATTAGGGTTTTTTTTTTTGTTTGTTTGTTTGTTTTTGTTTGGTTTTGAGAGTCTTCTATGGTATAGCATGCTGAGTATTTTTTTTTAAATTTTTTTTAGCAGTTAGTTTTAAATTTACTTAAATGTTTATCTTTTTATTTGTGCCTCTGAGAGTTGAATGCAGGGCCTTGTGCATGTGAATCTGTGCCCTGCTGCTGTGTTTTACCTCCCAGCTCTCAGTTTTCTGACAACACCACCAGAATCTTTTGTTCCTGATAACAAGTGAGAAAGCCAGCAGGTGTGAGGCTAGCTTTGTTCCCTTCAGGCTCTTAACTGATTACTCCTCAGATCCATGGCCAGCATAGTGGTCTTTTGGGGTGGTCCCTCTCCCCTCCCCTTTCACTCCCCTCCCCTCCCCTCTCCCCTCCCCTCCCCTCCCCCCCTCCCCTCCCTCTCCCCTCCCCTCCCCTCTCCTCCCCTCCCCTCTCTCCTCCCCTCTCCCCTCCCCTTTCACTCCCCTCCCCTCTCCCCTCCACTCTCCCTTTCCCTCTCCCCTCCTGTTTCCCTCTCCCCTCCCCTCTCCCCTCCCCTCCCCTCTCCCCTCTCCCCTCCCCTTTCACTCCCCTCCCCTCTCCCCCTCCACTCTCCCTTTCCCTCTCCCCTCCTGTTTCCCTCTCCCCTCCCCCTCCCCTCTCCCCTCCCCTCTCCCCTCCCCTTTCACTCCCCTCCCCTCTCCCCTTCCCTCTCCCCTCCTGTTTCCCCTCTCCCCTCCCCTCTCCCTTTCCCACTCCCCTCCCCTCCCTTCTCCCTTTCCCTCTCCCCTCCACTCTCCTTTTCCCTCTCCCTTCCCCCCTCCCTTCTCCCTTTCCCTCTCCCCTCCACTCTCCCCTCTCCCTCCCTCCCCTTTTCTTCCCCTCCCTTCCCCTCCCCTCCCTTCTCCCTTCCCCTCTCCCCTACCCCTTTCCCCCTTCCTCTCCTCTCTCTCCCCCCTCCCCACACTTACCACTCCCCTCCACTCTCCCCTCCCCTTCCTTCCCCTCCTTTTCTTTCGGGGTGTTTTTGTGGCTCACTTGAGTGCTGAATGCCCTCTCAATCTTTTGATTGTCCTTTTCCTGTCCATCATATTCTTTTCCCTGTGCTCAGTCAGTTCTCAGTTTCAGCATTAACCCTCACCTCATGCTCTCAATCCTTTCATGATGGACTGCTTATAGGTAACTGATCTGGGAATGATAACCACCAAATTGCTGACTTTAATCCATATGTGCCACAGAGCCAGGAACTGTGTTGGTGGCAGCCTCTAGGCTGAGCTGATCTCCTGCGTATTTAGATAGTCATAACCAGGGAGTCAACATTGATCTCATCTATCTACTCTGCAGACCTTATTAAAAATTTGCAAATTATCTCAAAATGTCCTTTGTAGGTCCTGGATTTGATCCACAATTATGGAATTCATGGATACTTTGTTGGTTTCCTTGGTGTGGAACAGTTTCTCGCCTGTCTGTACTTGGTAGCATGGCATTTTGAAGGTACTGGTTTATTTGTGGAATTCCCTTGAGTTTGAGCTTGTCTGCTGTTTCATTGTAACCTATGCATTTTTTGAATTCTGTGTTCTCAGTGTATATTAACTGAAGCCATGTGATGTCAGTTTGAATAAATGTGGTGATAGCATATATCCTGTGTTTGTCTTTATTTTTATGGAGAAAGCATTTTGAAAACCATACAAATGGGGTGTTGCATCTCATAGAGGTTTTCAAGAATTAATTTACACTTAACTTTTTCTTAGATCTGTTTATTGTGTGTGTGTTTATTCACATGTCCATGTGTGGAGGTCAGAGTACAATTTGCAGGAGTCAGTTTTCCTACTAACACTTGGGTTCCAGTGATCAAACTTATGTACATCATTAGAACTGGTGGAAGCTATCTGGACTTGCACACTCATCTCACAGACTTTTAC